AAGCCAGTAAGGAATGACAGAAGTGAAACAAAGAAAGAATGTGGCTTCGTGAATGCTCACTCGGAAAACACTTCAGAACCTCCAAGCGGGAAGAATTCCAGTGTCAGTAACGAGTGCCCCATCTGTAAAGGAGCTTGCAAATCGGTCGACTAGTGCAAGCGCTTTTTGAATTATCTCTCCATTCACGTTGGGCTGTTGTGCGCGAATATTCACTGTGTCGCCGTTGCCGCTGCCGTCACAATGGAGTGTGCCAAGCCAAACTATGTGGAAAAAATGGATGCCAGTTCAAGCATCATGCTGTCCTGCACAACGACCATAAACAACAATCGTCGCCAGCTACAGCAGCGAAGTCGCCATCTTCAACAACAGCACCCTCGACGAGTGGCGGTACGGAACCTCCCAAAACAGGAGCTAGTTCAACAGCGCACTGTTCCGTTATATTCCGGTAGTTCTGTACGGGAAACGTGGATCGATCCGAACACACGCATTCCTCGACGACGGCTCCGATCTTACATTGCTGGACGAAGAGTTAGCCGACGAACTAAAGCTGGATGGAGAAGTCAGGTCGCTTTGTCTACACTGGACCCACGGCGCGCAGCGTCAAGAAGTGCAGTCAAGGGTCACCGAACTGGAAGTAATCGGTGTACACAGCGGAGCAAAAAGTTTCACCATCAGTGGTGCACGAACAGTAAACAAATATATAATAAGATGTTGGGAATTTGCCAACTTACACAGGGAGATTTTCGATACAATAAATGAACGTAAATCCCACGTCTTCGGTAGTTTTAATATTATTGTATCGAAAATCTCCCTGTGTAAGTTGGCAAATGCCCAACAATAACCAAAAGCCACCATCTTGGATTTCAAGCTGGCATGAGACATAGATTTCCGGTCTCTATACGTCATGCTGATTCCGAAAATACCCACATTGAAGGGTATTTGATTGTACTTCCTAGTTTTTTCAACCGAAAGCCGCCATAATGAGTTTCAAACATAGATTTCCGGTCTCTCTAAACGTCACCTCGATTCCAAAATTACCCACATTGAATGGTATTTGACTGTTATTTTCCAGTTTTTCTATAACCAGAAGCCACGATCTTGGGTTTAAGATGGCGTCGGACATCGATTTTCGGTCTCTAGATGGCATCCCGATTCCGAAAAAAAACTACAAGGGACAGCTCTAAGGGGTTGTACGCAATGGTGACGTAGGACTACGTGGTCTTATATAATAAATCTTATTTGTTAACTGCAGCAGGAGCTTGTGTTTTGGGTAGCAATAGGAATTTAAGCGCGGTTCTCTTTGTTTATACTCTTTAGAATGACGCGCTTGACATAGAGGGCTCACAGCAACTCACGAAGAGCTACTGATTCCGATCAATAGCGGTGCGGCTTCTTCCTCCTTCATGTAGATGCTCATGTGGGCTGCTCGCTGCTTGCAGGCAGCCTTTTGTTGTGTACTGGAGAACACCACCACTCACCACCATGCTTGGCATACACAGTTTTACTCACGAACTGCTCATTAGCTAATAACTTTGCACAGAGTTGACGAAACATAGTTCTGTTTGAAGCAGTCGATAGAATAGAGTTTAGGCTTGTTACGTTAAAAGAGGAGATTTTAACTCTAGCAATAAACTGTATTTGATTTTGCGTTGTAAAAATGAAGTGAGAAATGCTCGCTGCACATCTCGGATTTTAAGAGTAAAAATTCATTGGTGTTGATTCAAATGATAAGATTTACCAACTCTTTGCATGTCTACAGTAAACTATGATCCTAACCTATCAATTATTTTAAAGATAACTAAATTTCAACAACTGAATGAAAAGTTTTTAACAAATGAGCAGTTGGTGTGTACAACTGTGCATGCCAAGCATGCTCACCACTCGGTGATTCAGTAAACACCGTTTGGTGAGACCGGATGGAATTCAACTTTGAAATCTGTGTTAGGGATATCACTTTTTGCAGACAATCGGTGATAATTTTAACTATCATAGCAACAGTTGCACATTCGAGTAATTTTAAATAGTGACATTTTGAAAAATTATAAAGTCTTAAATTTAACAGATGCGTAGACATACAACTGATCGATTGGTGATAAAATTATTGAAATTGGTCCAGGGGCTGCTGAGTTATTAACGTTCAAAATCTTTCATAATATTGTTACATGTTCCATTTTTGGTTTTCACCAAGTGTACCCCCGTACAGAAATCACAGACGTAGTTCTACGTCAAAGGTATTTGACAGTTTTTCTTATTAGAGAGTTGTATAGATTTTTCTCCTTTACTTAACTTAATTCTTTGTTTTTTTTTTTAATTAGGTAGGTTCCGATTCTACAGATCGCAGTTTCGTTTTTGTACCTGTGATCTTGATATTCTTACCTAGAGGATGAGTACTTAAGGGGGTTAGATTTTGATAATCCTTTAGTGGGAATGACACTGATGCAGACTATAAATCGTAGTCGGAATACGTATCTGTCATAGATACCAAAATTAATTAAGTGGCATTATTGGAAGATAAAATTTTATGCTGTTCAAGCATTCCACCAACATCCCAATTTCATGACTTCAGTATTTCCCAGTTTTCTTGCAACCGGGAGCCGCCAAATTTTTCTTTTGCTTTATTATAGAAATTTTAGCCGTAGGCTAGTTCATCTCTTAAAGCCACCATATTTGATTTCAAGATAACGTCAGACATTGATATCCGGTCTCTATACGTCATCTCGATTCCGAAAATATTCATATTGAAGGGTATTTGACAGTATTTCCCAGATTTTCTGCAACTGGACGCCACCATCTTGGATTTTAAGATGGAGTCAGACATCGATTTCCGGTCTCTAGGCTGCATCCCGATTCTGAAAATGCACATATTGAAGGGTATTTTACTGTATTTCACATTTTTTCTGCAACCGCAATCCGCCATATTGAATTTTAAGAACAAATGCGATTTAGGTGTGAAGCCCTAAGGTGACTGTATCTAAGATGTAGGAACAATTTCACGCTTAGTAGATTGATGAAGATTTTGAAGATATCCTGCAAAAAGATGGAGAACGACATTTTACGACCATCTAAAATTGAGACTAGTGACTATTGGTCGGGAAATAGTGACTTTTTCGTGTAACAAGTGACTAAAAAGTGCCCTGCTATCATCCCTGGACATACCGGATCCGGCAAAAAGTACCAGCCATCGGGTATATTAACATCCGTGTTAACTCACCAAGAGAAGCTACATACTTTACACACGATGCAAAACCTTTCTCCGAGTTTATTTACGTTTACGTTATCATCGTCATGCAGCAGAACTGTACTTTGCGTAGACACACCACCAGTAGTCGTGGTACGATTGACCTGAGCCGTTTCACTTCTTATCTCGCAATTTTGACATCAGAGCAGTCCAGACGGCATTGTTATTTATAATAATAATAATAATTTACTTAATAATCCAGATGTGTATTTGACACCGTCAACTGTAGACGATCATAGCACATAGTTCACGGTAAATCAAGCTGAACATTGCATTAGGTCCTAAGTAACATTGACAGATTCTCTTCGTCGAAATTCCCAGGTATATTCAGCACACAGGTCGATAAAAAGAAGCTTTTATCTAGCATCTAATACGACAAACACAACAAAAAACGGTTATGTGCTCAAGTTATTAACGAAAGAGAAAGTCGACGAAGAGAATCGATCAATGTTACTTAGGACCTAATGCAATGTTCAGCTTGAAATCCACTCGTACAGTTGAACGCCTCGGCAAACACAATCCAGTAGGTAGGTAGTGTAGAATTCTGATTAAACTTCAAAGCGACGACTTGCTCTTCAGATTAGGCCAGAGTATAGTCAACTTTTGAATTGATAAGAAACTCGAACATGTAGGTCAGGACTGTGCCAAGTGAATGGCCTGTGTTCTAAATTGAACGTTGTCACACTTTTTTTTTTCTAAATTAAACCCCCCAAACCCCCTCCATGATGAGTGTAAATAACGTTCCGCGGAATTTGTCATTGTTCCAGGCAAGCCCCCGCATTCCAACCGGAGCCGTTCTTGCACAGAACTTGATGTTATGAATGAAATCGTAAACAAAAACATTAGACCATCGGTGGAACGGCAAGCTTGTTGCTCGTCGCCGGCGCCATCGTGACTCAGAAACTGGTTTGGTCTGAATCACGTTGTCGCGGCGTGTTGTTTTCGAATATCTCTCAAAATGTATGCATATTCATGAGCTGCAGTCGAGATAATTGGCCCATTCATGCTCTGGTCTAGTCGTTTGATTGTTAAAAACAACAACAACAACCAAACTAGACAGTTGGGCATTGCGTGTCATGCGACATAGTTTCAAACGAAATTTGTTTACAGCTTCGCCGGCATGGACGCGGCGTCGATGACGCTCGAAGTAAGTGTTTGATTATCGTTGATTAAACATCATTTTAGGTTGATGCAAACACTGAACGTTGTCATTCTAAACTCATAGGAGCAATGTCATCGGTAAAATGTATAATCAAATTAGTTTCCGTATGACGCAAGCCATCAAGGTCATTCAAGGAGAGATCCAAAAATAGAAAAAAAAAATAATTCAATCTCATGTATGCAGCTGTCTCTTTAGCAGCTGCTCATTAGAGTTAGCCCAAACCGGCTTCACTGCACTGCTTCTAATTCAAACATATTATTTCAATCGCATAAGTATCACTATATTTGATCGATAAAAAAATGTAAACATTCCAACAGCGAACGGTACCAACAGCGGCTGGTCAAGGTCGTTCAAGACAACCAAGACAACGCGCACCGCTTGCTCGCTCGCTCGTACGTTTGTTTTTGTTTTCGTTTGGATTTGCTTTTGAAGTTTTCTCCATTCCACACGAAGACCTCTTCTGACCAATGAACCATCAGGTTTGCTTGCTTGTTGCGATGCGATGAATGAACGATATTTTCTTCTTCTTATTGTGCGATCATGTTTTGACCATTCGTGCTTCTGCAAATATATAGGTAGCCGCTCTGGAGTGGAATTTACCTTTGGTGTATGTCAATTAAATCCTCGCTTGAACAAACTTGCTGCGTAATATACAGACACGCTGCTGGAACCGGAAATGATGCACTCTCTATTCCCTAACAATTTCCGCTGTCTTCCAATTGCGAACCACACTACACTTGCTTGGGATATTTTCGCTGATTCTTCGTTAAACCGCCTTCCGACGGTCCCTTACAAACACCGACTGATTTGTGTTTGCCTTTGATTTGCACTTGGAGGAACAACACAACACACGTCTGTGTGAAAAATCGATGCCAATGACGGTCGGTGGTTTTCCCACTACTGTATCATGGTGGCCGTGTGTGCTTTGCGACATTTAATTTCCGAATCCGCAACGCAACCAAACCTTGCAACACGCTACACGACATCTATATGTTGATATCTTGTGCAGTGTGGTTAGAAACCCGTGGGTTTGTTCACGAAAAAAGTGGACACCCGCTTCTAACTTTATCAAATTCAACATCAAACCAGATGTTATGTGATACTATAGACTTGATGCATAGAATGGCTTGTTTTTTAAGTACTTTTAAACTAGGAACAATGTTAAAACAGTGATAATATTATTAAAGTTACAAGGAAATCCCCAAGAGGGTGTCCACTTTTGTCGTGTGCCGGATTCCATAGAGTTGTACAACATTGATCTTGTGGTGTGGCTTCCCGCGTGGTGAAACACTCGGTGGTCGAAGTAGCTCTATACATCTAAATACAACATAAATTACTCACACAAGTGCACCTTTGAAATATTCGTGAACGAAATCCGTTCATTCATAATCGCAATCGCAGCGCATGGCTGTTAAAGCCCTCTAGTAAAAGTATGGACGTCTTCTTAATACTACGTTCATGGTACGTTCAAACTATAGCTGTTATCATGTAATATAGGCTATCTTGATATCAAAATACATACAAATGATTTCCAGTGAAAATTGGACGTATGAGTGTTCATTGCAAGACATACTATGAGAGTACGTTCGGACTATGGTTGATATCATGTAACATAGGCTGTCTTGCAAAGAGCACTAATTCGTCAACTTTTCACCAGTAATTACAGTTTTAATTTTTGATTTCAAGATAAACTATAGTACGTGATATGAGCTATAGTCTGAACAAAAGTAAATTTCCTAAATTGCTTAAAATAATGACGAATTGCTACACTCAAAAAATTTATCACATATCTAATGGATGAAAATCATGTGAATTTCACATAGCTTTCATGATCTCACATAGCTAAAAATCCCACCACAAAATCACATGAATATTATGAGGCCGATGAAATTCATATGAACAATAAGATAAAATTAACGTGATTGCATAAATGTTACGTGAAATTCAGATGAATTCCATTGCTTTTGTTTATGGATGAAAATCATTTGCGTTTCCAATGGAAGCTACATGAAAACTATTTTCGGTGTACTACGGTATCACGTATCACTTTCAACACCATCTAGAATCATACTTATTTATTTATCACCGTCTTCGACTAGTGGTGCCAGTCGTACAGACTGTACTTTTTTACTTATAAACTTGAGATTACTACACTGATACAATTCCACACATTTTTATTGCCGAATTTCCATGTGAAATTCCATATGATTTTCATGTGACCACACATAATCAGAATCCACCCAGAAGCACATATGAAATTTATGAGTCAAATGAATAGTATGTGTGGTTACACATAGCTTTAAGTATGTGTCCAATACATAGATATCATTTCAAGAGCAAATTTTCATTACGTCGAATGTAACAAAGGTAAACAAAGTCGAGCTTACAGTGTCAATCGATTCTCCTGCTATTACACTATATACTGTCCGAATATAGGATCAAATCCCATTTTTTAATTTATTTACCAGTCAAATTGCTTTTTGACGTAATCACCTTCCGATCAAATTAGTTTTCAATGTTACTTAAGTTACCCAATTTCTATGGAGATGCCGTTTGACTTAAGTAACAGCGCTGAGAAACCCGTGAAAAGTGTGCGTTCGTCGTTTCGCTTTCTCATTATTAAAGTGAATAAATCGAACTGTTTGTTGCTAAGATGATTTCGGTGGTCCTAAAATGATGAATGGGCTGCACGTAAGGAGACGTAATTGATAATTCTCCCGAATATCCTGGTAAATACACTTTGACTTAAGTAACAATAGGGGCCACCAAACGGCGTATAATAACTTTTGACTCAAAAACCAGTATTTTTTAGCATGAAAGCTAGCGATTTGCATTAGTATGATTAAAACCCTGCTAAATATGTTAAACATTGCTATCACTATGAGATTATATGTGTTTACTTCTTCTTCTTCTTGTTCGCATTTCAAGCTTATTGCTTAGCGCATATTAGCTTATTGCGTGCTCTCAACTTAGTGTTCTAAATGCACTTCCACAGTTATTAATTGAGAGCTTTCGATGCCAATACCAATGCAGCATGAATTTGTATATTATGTGGCAAGCACAATGATACTCTATGCCCAGGGAAATCGAGCAAATTTCCAACCCGAAAGATTCCCTCGACCGGACTGGGAATCGAACCCGCCGCCTCCGGCTTGGTAATACCGTGCCTTTACTGACTAGGCTATGAGGCCCCTCGTGTTTACTTGGAAATAGGAATAAATTTTCGGTCATCAAAACAAAACTTTATTTTTCTCGGATTGGTGCGAATGTTACTTACGACATAATGAAAATTTGCTCTTGATTTGTTGATCACAATGCAAAAAAATAATGTGTGGGCATGCTTGGCATGCACAGTTGTACACACCAACTGCTCATTTGGTAATAACTTTTCACTCAGATGTTGAAATATATTTTTCTTTAAAGTAATTGATAGATTAGGCTCATAGTTTACTATAGATATGCGAAGATTAGGTAAAGCTTAACATTTGAATCAACACTAATCAATTTAACACTCAAATTCCGAGATGTGTAGTGAGCATTGCTCACCTCATTTTTACAACGCAAAAACAAATACACTTTACTACTAGCATTAATATCTACTTTTTTTTACATTTTACATCTATTATAATAACAAGCTTACACTCTACTCTATCTACTGCTTCAAAAAGAACTATGTTCCGTCAACTGTGTGCAAAGTTATTAGCAAATGAGCAGTTCGTGACCAAAACTGTGTATACCAAGCATGTGTGTGTGGGACACATAAAAACAAACTTTGAAATTTTATTAGTGTACTAATCTTATTTATAAAAATATTTTTAGTCAGGTTAAAAACAAATTCGTCACATACAACATTGATCAAGCGAAGACACGAAGCGAAATGGTTGTTGTAGCCGTAGCACCGACCAACCCAACAAACATTGAATCTTGAATAAGAGCTTATTCAGGCAAAAATAAGCTTCTTCATCTAAAAAATAGCTTATTCAGCAGTTGATCAACTCAAATTGTTTGTTGGGAACCGACATGACACTTAATTCTGAATTATGCTCGAAAATCGTAAACGACCGATTTAAATGCGCAGTGATCCGAACTGTCAAAACCATAGGATATATTGATCTAGATAAAAATAATTTGTCCAGAATAGATCAAACACGAACCAATTCATAACTTTTGCATGCGAATTCATGGCTTAGCTAAATATTTCCTGCAGAACACGGAGCCAGATGTCAGTAGTGTGCTTTGGTCAGAAATTTTATTGGCTTTGCTATGGTCATTCATGTCGGTTTGTCGGTGGCGGTAGTTTGTTCTGTGGTACACTCTGAAAAATATTCACGTCCGATTGACGTGAAAACATAGGTGGTTTTTGTTCACCCTATTTTTCACCGGAATTGCACGTAGCCGATCAAAATTCAGTTTCAATTATCTACGTGATTAGTCAGGTAAATAAGACCTGATTTCCACGTACTGCTTACATGAAATCGGGGTGAAAACTACTGGATATCTGGTAACTTTTACGTGACATTCTGTTTTAAAAAAAAATGTTTTTCATGTAATTTATACGTGAATTTTTAATGAGAATAATGGGAAGTATATATAGAAGCAGTCAATATTATGCAAATTTATCGGGAAGATATAATTTTCACGTGTTTAAATTAATACTTATTTGACTCATAAAATTATAAACATTGACTAATTGATTATTATAAGGTAGAAACGTGTACGAGTTTTTTTATTTCTGATAAAATATTAACACCTGTTTGCAGACTCAAAATTCTGATGCCACCGTCGGAAATTCCTACTAGAAAAATGCTACATATAATCATAAATAAATTAATCATAAATAAATTAAGAATCTAAGTACCGTCCAACTGCTGAGAACTTTTGAATCTTTGAGGAGTTCTTCCACCACGCTCGGTGACGCCATATTGGTTTTTTTTGCGTACCTGAAAATCACGTAAATCTCGTTTCGCGGAAATATCGAAGTCCCAAACACACAAACACAAATAGACTAAATCTGTTTACGTGAATATACGGTCAATTTCACCAACATTTTTAGTGGACATGACGTGTAATGCAGGTCAAAGTTACTAACGTCACGTAACATTTGAGATTTTCTAAATACAGATCAGGTACGTGATATTTCACGTAAATCGGACGTGAAGATTTTTTATAGTGTAAGGGACTGCTATTAAAGCTGAGTTCCGAAACCGTCGGGGAGGAATGTTAAGTGGAATCCGTGCGAGATCCTCCAATGACATCGACGACAAATAGCCGCTGCATCGTTACTCGTCCGACAGATATTGGCTCCAATCCTATGAGCTTGCATTGGTTGGAATAAAAAATAACAACAAAATTCGGCAACACTGCTTGTTGATATGTGCACGGTTTTTATTGTGATTATTTGTGTTCTATTTTTATATTACGTATTGCTTTTTAATTCGTTTTTCGTTGTTCATCTGTTTATTCATCTCATCGTTATCTCCCCGTCGGTGAAGTACATTCGTACATCAAAAATATTACTAATCAATTGATGATTTAAATTAAATTTATTTTTTTTTTTCCTTTTATTTAACGTCGGTCTCTGTTCCGCAATCTAGTGCCAATCCCCGCCCAAGTAACACATAAAACATCTTCTTGAAAAATAATTGGAACGGCTTGTTATATAAATGTATTATAAGTGATGCAGAAAACATCCCACGTTATATATGAGGTGTATAGATGTTTTCTTCATACTTCCTAGATTCAACATTTTCCAAAATAGTTTTATATTAAAATGTTTTTTTAAACGTGCATCTTACTGTCTTAATACCACTATAAAACTTGTCGTATACAAAATCAATCTTAGTTGA